ATCCTTACATGGCACCTTCCATACAGATTCTTGGGCTCCAATCTGTTCGGGGCAATGGCTGTCATGTGCCCACCCCAAAGCAACCTCTGTGGCCAGAGAAAAGTCTATATGCAGAGAAGGCCAGAGCAAGATTAGTTCTTTCCCTGAACCAGTCACTGGGCCAGAGTGATGGGGTTTCTCTAACTGGTTTAAGACACCACTGAGGCTGGAGATGAAGTCAATTCAACCTAGAGCGCATGGCTCCTCCACAGAGAAGAGAAGGTGGCACGGGTAGGGGGATTCAGCCACAGGATCAACGGCAAAGTCACATCCACCCAGGTCCTGCAGAGACCCCCAAACAATGTCTCCAAATTTCTGCTGGGAATCTGGTGCAAAGCCCCAAACTGCACAATGGGCTAGAGACACAGCTTAGGGCCTGTGTCTGCACAGCAGAGAGGCCACTTCAATCATGGTCTCCTTTGTTCCTGGTCAATCAGGCCCACGGTGCCCGCCTCCTGCTCTGTCCAGTTACAAGGCCCTTCCTATACTCCTTGACTCTTATTGCTCTGTTCTTCCTGCCACGACTCCCAGCCTTCTGAGCCTGTACCACCTGTACCCTTTGGTCGCCTGCAGAAAGGAGCTCCCTCCACTTCTGTCTTAACCAAAATCTGGCTGAGGACATGGCTTCCCTTGCTGATCTCTTGAGAGACACCAGCTCATTCCCATACCCCAGCTACCATGGAACAAGGAGGAGGGTGGTCAGCATCCGTTCACCCCTCTTCACCTCCTGTGGGCCATCACTTTTCTTTGAGGCTCCCTTCCTTGGCACTGCTGTCTACCCACCTCCCAACATTCACTAGGACTTGGGCTCCTGACTCACAGGCTCCCTGGGGGAAATGGTGCCATCATCCTAGATGATTCAGTGTCTCTGTAGAGAGCATGTTCTACATGTTAATCTTTAAGTCTCTGACTCCCTAGTCTCCAATGACCTTTGCTCTTCTTACCACTTGGGCCTCTCGTCCCTTTGGCCACACTCTGAGCCTTTCTTTCATCACCTAGAAGTGCTACACTCTCTGACAAAACCCAGTCTCCAGCCATAACCACCTGCTCTTGCAGCTCTCCCTTCCCTACCTCACCTCCTCCTTTATCTCCTTATCCTTCCTTCTTCTTGTCATCACATACTGCTGAGCCGTGGTAAGGAAAATTCTAGTCTCCTCTGGACTGGCACCGGGATCTCCAGTTTCAGTCTCCTGACATCTGGGCTCTCTCTCCACTACAGCACAGAAGCTGTTCCTTCCATTGTCACTGGAGCGGTCCATGTTGTAAACTACAGGGACACTCAAGTCCTTACAGTATTAGTCCTCTCCCCTACATTGACTACTTCCTCATTCTTGAGGAAGCCTTTCCCTAGGGCTACCAAGACACAACACCCTCCTTTTTTTTCTATCTCCTTGGGTGCTGTTTCTCAATTTTCCTCACTAATTCCTTCCCCCTCCCCGCTGCCCAAGTCTATGCCATAAATAGTGCTGTTCCCAGGGTTCTGCCCTGGGTTTAGTTCTCTCATTTTACAAATTCTTTTCAGATTATCTCACTCACACTTAAGGTTTCAATAACAACTCAAATGACAACGGTGCACAAACCTAACCCTTGGGCCTTGACATATAGCTGATAACCTGTTGCGCGTGGGTCACTGGCCAGCAGTGATCACGGAACGCTGTGGATGGCTTGACGATAAACACGCGAGAAATAACAACATGCACAGAGACAGACTAGTTTCTGTGGGGAAGTAGGGACGAAATGGCCACCCCCCCCAGTGGGGAGCGCGCCAATTTACAGTCCATACCTGCTTTTATTGGGCTCATTTTGCATAGTAATTCAGGTAAAGTACAGTACTCATTAGGGGGAAGTAAGGAACCATAGAAAACAAAGAACTCTGCCGGTCTATTGAGTTGGGGTCAAAGAGCTGTAAGACTGAGGAACAAACTAACTTCCTCCTTGAACCCCTCTCATTCAGCTGAGAGCATTCTAAACAAAGAAGATTTCACAGTAATTTACATGTTCTTTCTTAGGCCTGATCACCCCGGGGAATCCGCACTTCTCGGTACAGAGCTGCACCACCCTGTCATTGTTTCAGGCTTAGGTGGAGCAAGGGAACTAAGGCAACTGGGAGACAAGGAGGTTTTTTCCCAGACGCTGAGAACTCAGGCTATGTCAAAGCTGAGGAGCGAGGGTCCATCACCCCCTTTTGCTGCAGCCCCCCAAGTCCTTCTTTTGGGGGGCCTCCCAAAGTGATCGTGCCTGGCTTAGGTTGTTCCCCCTGTGGGGAATCTTACCCGTCTTTGGCTAACCGACCAAGCTTTTTGGGGTTCAGTCATGAATAAAGCAGCAGAAGCAGCATTCCTGCCAGGAAGATAAGCTTTTGTCTCCTTGCTGGCTTATGGTTCCAAGGGCGTTCCCTTAGCCTTAGCCTAGGCGGGGGTTTCAGCTTCTGATACCAGTCAGGGCGGTTCCCAACAATAACCCAATGGATATTGCCACCAGCAGTGCCCCTCAGGGACTTAAACACAGCATGCCCAAATCTGAACTCTGTTCTGTAATCTGAACACCCCTTCTCTTCACTAGAACACTATATACCCTGCGTGAGGAGCAGAGACCATATGAAGACCAGCAGATACTGCCTCTCCTCTGGATAGGAAAGGAAACTTGAGCAGTACTCATTATTATGAATTTAAGATGCATTAAATTGCCCCAAACATTCTTTTCCTTCAGCAAGTTGGTAAACGTAAAAACATTTACGATGCTATTTGGCCTTAAAGTCCTGAGTTGCTCCACTGTGAATTCTTCCCCTACAGATGGTTTCAGGAAGAAATGCTGGGCCTTGGTCAGCTGCTCATTTGGGGCAGGCAGCTGACATGAGTCATGGAGTCTGGAGCTGAGTCTAGGTAAGCGTGTGTAGTGCATATGTCTGCATATTCATAAATGAGTTCTGCTTTATTGCAGATATTAAGCTTTCTTTGAGAAGAATCTAGGTCACATGTAAAGTTAATAATTGATGTCTTCCCCCTGGTTGGGTAGGTCAGTTGGTTAGTGTCACTCCAACACGCCAGGCTGGGGGGTTCAGTGCCTGACCAGGGCTTGTACAGGAAGAAACCGGTTAATGCATGAACAAATGGGTGGAGCAGCAAATCGGTTTCTCTCTCTCCCTTCCTCTGTCTCCCTCCCTCTTGCTAAAATCAATGAAAAAATTAAAAATAAAAATCAATGTCCTCTGAGGATACTCCAGGAAAGTCCGAGGTTTCCGGGTCTCATATCATCTCCTGAACCAGTTCTCCGACACAGGTGTCACGCCTTACATAAGGAGAGCTTTGTAGAAAGGCAGATGCCAGCTCTGGCAATGGAGTTTCTAAAGCTGGCTGGGGGCAGAACAGTCCCTATTGACACAGCTCCCCTTGGGTACCACTGTGACTGAGGAATGCAGAATAATCTGAGGTCTGAGGATAAAGAGAGCTTTGGATAACATTAATTTAAACTACTCAGTTCATCATCAGTGTGAGATCTTTTTTTTCAATTAAAAAAATTAAAATTTATTTTTAGACAGAGGGGAAGGGAGGGAGGGAAGGAGAGAAACATCTATGTGTGGTTGCCTCTTGTACTCGCCCCCCTACTGGGGACCTGGCCCATAATCCAGGCATGTGCCCTGACTGGGAATCCAACCGGCGACCCTTTGGTTTATAGGCTGGCACTCAATCCACTGAGCCACACCAACCAGGGCTATTTTTTTTTTCCAATTACAAAATAAAGACTCGTGTAAAGTGTAGAAAGTTCAGAAAAGAAAAAGTAGAAAATATCTCATAATCCCACTACTCAAACAATAGCCATTGTTAGCCTTCCTTCTGTTTTGTAAAAAAATGTACAATTTTGCTTACTGACTTTTCCACTTTAACATTTTAACACATGTATTTCCCCAAATCATACAACTTCCTGCAACACTGCTTTAAATAGCTATACAGTGTGCTCTGAAAACTTTTAAACCACCTCACTCAGAAAGGCAGTGGAGAGAGATGGCATTTTCAGTTCAGGCGACTCAATTCCAGCTTCCGATGAGAGGCCATCAGCCTGGGATTCTCTTCCCCCATCTCCTGCGTTCCTCCACACTTCCAAACTTGTCTCACCCACACTCATTCTCCCTCTGCTCCAGGCTGAGAGGACTTGCTATGAATTTGGCTCATGGCTCAGCCAAACACTTTAGGTTTGAATACTGACACTTTGTAGCTATGTAGTCTGTGAAGTTTGTCTTACCTATCATGTGCAAAGTGGGGATTTTGTCATAGCTCTCAATAGGATTAAATTTTATTATGTATGTAAAACATGTAGCACATAATAGGCGATCAATAAGTGATAGTAAAACACACAGATTTTCCCTCTTGTTATATAGCCCTCTCCTCCCTGGCTCTCCTTTTCAGCAATTTCTTGAAAATGACTTATACTTGCTGTCTCTGTTTGCTCATCTTCCGTTTACACCCCAACTCAGTGTAACCTGGCTTTTCCTCCCCTGCTGAGGTTGCTCACCAAAGGTCTCCTAGTGCCATAGTGGAGCTTTGAGTCAATTCTTAATCTTTTTTTATGTATAGACACAGTTCATTTCTCCTTCAAACCTCTCCTAGTCTCCATGCAGTCAGTCTTCCCAATCTTCCTCGATCTGCCTAAACTCTGTTCTTTAATTGGTCCCCGTCCTCAACTTTTGAGTGTCTGGAAAAAGCGATTCTTATCAGACTGAAGTCAGAATTCTGCCTCTTCTACTTGCCATGCTGAGTTCCTGAGTTATTTAACTCACCTCAGCCTCTGCAGTCTCAGCTACGAAGGGGTGACTCCCCTCCTGGTTGAGCATCCTAAATGGAGTCACTGTACACTGAACCAGGGTTTCTCATTGGTGTAATGGATTAGCAGTGGGCATAAATTGGAATTCCAGGCTGGAAACCCATTTCATAGCGTAAGAATGTCAAAACTCAAAGCAAATAACATACATTTCAAAATATTTATTAACCATATAAAACTAAGCAATATGAAATATGATAGAAATATTCCTTTGAGGTATTTTTCTTCAAAGGCTGGATTGGCTGAGGTTTCTTAGACTCTTAGTTTAATGAGGTTTGGACAGAACATGCCATCTTTTCCTGGTAAATCTTCCCACAGTATACGCACAGATATTTTTCCTTACTCCAAGAGACCTTCAAACTGCACTGAAAATTAGTGCCATCTGCCACAAAGGAAATAAAAGTTCAATGACGTTCAGATGAATGCCTCTCAAAGTTTTTAAAAGCTAAATGTTGGGAGAGAAAGTTTCAATATCTTACTTTTCCACTTTTATAAAAATCTACTTTACTGAGCTTCTGAGAAATTCCTAACAATACAACCAGGTTTGCAGGAGAAACTTCTGGATCCACTCACTCAGCAATGTCAATCAGTTTCAGTGATGCTCCTTACAGTCATACAAATTCCTTCAAATTACTGATGAGGCAGTTTCCTCCAAATTCCTAGTTCCAGGCTTCACTTAAAATTCTCACAATAGCCAAAACACTTCCAAAATTCCTTTTTGATCCATCCTCCTTGATTGCTTTGACCTTTAAAAATTTCACAAATAAAAATACCTTAAGGATGCAACAACTTATTTGATCTGTTGGCTAAAGTCAATGAGATGCTCTGTGGAGATAAATGGGGAGGAAGAAAAACTAATGTCAGGATATTGCTACTTAAGAATTAGGAGACAGCCTGAAACACTACCCAAACCCAGTTGTTACCAGTTTAAAATTTTTTTCCTAATCCTCACCTGAGGAACGTTTGTTTTTGTTTTTTTTTCTGACAGAGGAAGGGGGAGCGAGCAAGGGAGCAAGAAACATTGAATAGTTGCCTCCTGTACATGCCCCGACTAGGGATTGAACCCACAACCTAGGTATGTGCCCTGACCAGGGATTCAACCTGCAAACTTTTTGGCCTATGGGGCGATGTTCCAACTAATTGAGCCACCCATCCAGGGCTGTTTTTTAAATGTCATTATCTCTTGACCTCTGGAATAAAGCAAAGTAAAAAATCAAAGCTTAAGGACCTTGGATTCTTGGCAAAATAAAGGCAACAGTTTTAATATATAGTCAATTGTAATATGTGGTTCCTCCTACCCAACTACATAGTCAGTATTTAAAAATCTTCCTAATGTCAGTTTTCCCCAAAAAAAAAGGTAGTTTTATAAATGTTAAATTATTTGTCTCAAAGAGTACCAGGCCTCTGCATTTTAATTAAGTTTTCTGGGAAATTCTTCAATGCCTCAGTATTAGCACTTGTAGCTTCTGCCAGATGTTATGCTAACAAGTTCTCTCACTCCATTATAAAAACAAACAAAAGCTGTTCAATGTGCAGCATTCTCATCTAAGGAAATCTACATCCACAGGGTGTCCCAATTCAGGCCCTCCTTACTCTTATCCCAAGTTAGTACAATGGTGGCTTTGAAACCAGTCTGACAAAATTCCCCAAATCAAGTCTCTAATGTACTACCAGCATCCTCCCAAGGTAACTGTGCTTTGAGCCATCAGTCTACTTTGCAGAATCCCTCCAACATTGCACTCATTTTATTGCCATTTCATTTTTACGTGGATCTCCTCTATTTCATCCTTAGTCCCTGGTGGGCAAAGCCTATTTCTTTGGTTTGCAGGCCAGCACTCAATTCACTGAGCCACACCAGCCAGGGTCAAAGCTTATTTCTTACTGGTCTTTGGTCTACGAGTTGGCACATGGAAAGGCACTCAATCTAAGTATTCTGTTGGGGATGACCCCAGCTCTCGTAACAGCTTTCAGATGGCTTAAGAACTCCCTCTTTGGCCCTGGCTGGGTTAGTTCCGTTGGTCAGAGTATTGTCCAAATAAGCCAAAGTTGTGAGTTCAAGCCCCAGTGAGGATACAAAAATAAGTGGAACAACAAATCGATGTTTCTCCCTTTCTCTCAAAAACCAATAAAATTTAAAAAATCATTTTAAAGAGACAAAAAAATTCCCTTTGAAAACCAGATAGTTTTCTAATACTAAACAATGTGAAAAACGTACTGCAAATTTTGATGAAAAATAACACCTGATTTTTTTCTATGAAGCTAGTACACTAGGAAAAAATGAACCTTAATAACTTAAAAAGAGTGATCCTACAAACACCAATTTATAGCTGTCTTTTGTGGCTACTGAAACGTGCAACCAACCTGCTCCAACCTCCAGCATTTTAGGTTTTCTGTCACCCATACCTATGAGCTTTTCTGTATAATTTACCTGTCTACACTAGTTCCTCTCACACCTCAAATTCTGCTTTTTAGCATGCCATAGGCTAGAAAACTTGTTAGAAATGTTTATGGCAGGAAGAAATAGGCCCTAATCAAGAGGAATTATATACCTATGTTAAAAAACACAATGATCTTGCGACATCCACTTTATCTGTTCAAAGGTCTCCACTATTTACCTCTGGCTCTTATCTACACCAGAAAAAGATGTCACAGATTTAATGCTGTTCATCACTTAAATTTGTACTCTCAATTAAAATCTAGCCTAGGTTAGTGAGTTAAAACCCTCCCCACTTGAATGCTCTCTTCTGTGACTCAATTCACATTAGAAAGTTGAGTTGTATAATATTCACTTAAAAAGCTAAGGCTATTTTAAACTACCTTGTTCTACATTTCTAGCAGATCAAAACCATAATATATCCCATATACTAAAACACTGTGGGTTTGATTTCTGGTAAGGGCACATACCTAGGTTGTGGGTTCATTCCCCAGTCAGAGCACGTACAGGAGGCAACCAATCGAAGTTTCTCTCTCTCTCCCCCTTTCTCTCTCTCTAAAATTGGGTGAGGATAAAAAAACATGTTTCTTTAAAAAATTAAAAATTTTTTAAGATTGATGTGTATATTTTTCTTAAATCCCAAAATGTAACTAATATAGACTAAAGGTTAACATTAAATAATCAATGTATCACATTCTATCAAAAATGTGTCCTCTGCATTTAGTACTCTACATCATGGAGACAATAGAAAATAGGCATCACAAAGATTTAAACAATTAAGCTCAGAGTGACTTTTAATATGCCAATCAATGTTAATAAAACACAAGTCAAACAAATACAAACATGTTTTAAACCAAAATCAATAAGAAAATGAACAACAGACAAATTCTTTTTTTTCAACATCTGTTAGCCAGTACTATTAGTCAAATGGCTAATCACAGATAAAATATATTTTATGAGAAGCTTGGAATAGTCAGAAGTCATTCTGGCATTTGAAACAGCTATGTACAGTATCACCAAGATTAGTTTATATACACATATATTGAAGAGAAACTGGGCAAAACAGTTAAAAACAGACTAACGATACAATCAAGTACAAAACAGGTGGAAAAAGAAAACATTTTTTAAAAGTTAGGGAAGGGTATTACCAGAAAGAATTACAAATCCAGTAACAATTACACTACATTAATACAGCATTCCAAAGGGGGAAAAGGGTGCATTTTTCCAATGCACTAGCTTCAATGTTCAAAGGGAAAAAAGGCAAATAGCTGCTTTTTATCAAGAGCAGCTTTGTATTTCACATAATTGTTTTCAAAAGAAAGCCTATTAACAACAATGATTGTTTAATGCTACAATTATACAGCAAAGACAAAACTAAAATAGCAGCAAATTCACAAGGCAATACTTCCACAGAATTATTCTATGGTTCATACAGTGCCTAAAAGTGCTCCCAGTTGGATATACAAGTATAATTCACAATTAAAAAAAGACTGACACACAGTTACATTGATGCCTGGGTAGTAACTGATTCTCTTAGCACTCCCCTTTTCCAAGGGAGAATGCTTGTAATAAGGCCCTTGAGCCCTTTTTCAGGTCACTAAAGGGAAGGATACCTTTCATCACAATGCAACAGCAAACTATAAGCAGCACACCACCACAGTAGTTAAAACCCTGGAAAGGCCGATGTGACATCCAACAGTGACTGACACCCTACAGAAGACAAACTGGTAAAACTAGACGAAAGCCTGATAGAGCACTGGTGAAAATACAGCTTTTAACTGCAGTTCACAAAAAAAAGTCCTAAAAAGTATTTCAGTAAAACTACTGACACCGATTTTGAGAAAGTAATTTGCAAACTACATTCTAGAAGTGATTTCAACCTAGCTTAGCCTCCTCTTGTCACAGTTTTGGGGGAAGGTGGGAAATTGAGTAGAGTTCAGTATATGGTAAGGCTGACAGAGCGGTTCATTTTCTTTCCAATAAGTCGAGATGTTCTATTACTCTGGGTGGTGGACCTAGTGGCCATTCGGTCAGTGAAGAATGCTCTTTCTTCAGCTGCAGCTTTTGCCATCTGGGCTTTCTTGAGTTCTCTACAAACATAAAAATAGGAAACAAGACTTTTCACTTACTATGTTAATCCTAGGAAGGGATCCTAAGAAGCCAAACACAAACTATATTATCAGCTGTGAGATCTTTTCATGTCATCATTATTCTAAGGAAAAATACAGTACGAAACTTTAGGTTCTGCTTAAACAACTTAAATTTATAAAATAATCTTATCTTGTGCTACAAAAATTAAAATATTATATACACTTAGATACAAGTAATAAAGGCACTAGTAATGACTGGGTTTTAATAAAACGTCAAACAGAACTCTAATTTATGTTGTGAAAATATCTTTACAAAACAGATGAAAGGAAAATTCTACTTCCTATTTGTACAGCAATGATATCTATCAATGTAGTGGCAAATAAGACTTTCATTTTTTAAAAGATTTTATTTTTAGAGAAAGAGGAAAGAGAGGGAGAGAAACATCAATGTGTGGTTGCCTCTTGCACGCCTGCAATCTGGTCATGTGCCCTGACTGGAAATCGAACCAGTGACCCTTTGATTTGCAGTCCGGCACTCAATCCACTGAGCACACTATCCAAGGCCAAACCTTTCCATCTTTTAAGTCAGATCAGGTTTGGACCAAAATGGTAGAAATAAAGTAAATGAATTAGAATTGTTATTCCATTCAGTTCTAAAACTATCAAAGGTCACTCACATTAAACATGACAATCAGCTACTAACCTAAATGACATTAATTTCATCACTTCATAAAAATCAGTACAACAGAATATTTCAAGGAATGTTAATTTTGGCTGACAGTTTGGATAGGGGAAAACCATAGAGGCTCATTTAGCTTTTGCTATGATTTAGGGCTTGGGTATTATCACCACTTGCAAATACAGGCTAGTTTTAAAAAACTTTAAAGTCAATAATTTCAAAGTTCAGAAACAACACAAATTTATAGGTCAAATATGAATTTAAGGCAGAAGTCCCCAAATTAACTGTATAACATGCCAAACCACTATATCCTTCACTGACAGAAAGCATAAATCATCTCACTAAAATTTGTGAAATAGCCCTGGCCAGTGTGGCTCAGTGAATTGAGTTCCGCACTGCAAATCGAAAGGTTGTTCCTTCAATTCCCAGCCAGGGTACATACCTATGCTACAGGCCAGGTCCCCCAGTTGAGGGGCATGTGAGAGGTAACTGATGGATGTTTCCTGCCCTCTCTCCCTCCCTTCCCAACTCTCTAAATCTTTTAAAAATAAAATAAAATAAAATTTGTGAATTAAGGAAAAGAAAGTAAAAACAAAACAAACCCCTCACTTACTTCTGCAAAAGTGAATTTTTGAACTTTTCAGCATTCAATTCTATTCGTAATTGTTCTGCACTTTTCCTAGAAGCAGACAGCAATACTGAATGCTTCACCAGTGCCATTGCTGAAGGTCTTCTCTCTGGATCTGGATGAATCATAACCTTAAAAAGAAGTAAAATTAAAGTAAAAACATGCAACTTAATAAAATATTGAACCATGTCAATAAAGTGCTTCATATGTAAAATACTCACTTTTAGCAACTCTGTGAATTCTTGGGAAAGCACTTGTGGAATCCGAGGTAACCTACCCTGTCTGATTTCATGCCACTGGTCTCCATTTCTGGGAAGAGGCTCAGCACCAGCAGCACAGACCACTGTGAGGGCAAGGGCAAAAATATCTGCTTTTGGCAGATGGGAATAGTTCTATAAAATGTAAAAAAAAAAAAAAAAAAAAGGTTAAGTGAATATAAAAATGATCAAAATAAAATACAATTATACCTCATAATGATTTAGATGAAAAGACAGGACTAAATTAAAATGTTCAATGCCACATTCAAGTATAGGATCTATTTAGAGAAAAAGTAAATTTGGGGAAATTATTCTAATTACAAAGCAATACACTGTTCTCCGCCCCACACCCCAAAAACCAAATGCTTCCTCTATCACTAGCCCAATCCAACTCTTAGAAGAAACTCCTAACCCCCTAGAGCATTCATATGAAAACACAAAACATACACACGATAACAAGTTACAAATATACATATACATGTAAGATACAAATATACATAAAAATAATGATCATACAATTTATTTGTTCTACTCATTCAAAACTCCTGAGAAATATTTCATTGCACCCTTTTTGCAACAGTAATGAACTATGAGCCGTAATTTACATAATCATTTCTGTGTTGCTAAATATGTATTTACATTGTTCTTGGTTTATTTGTAAAGGATTACTTCTGTAGGAGACTCTCAGAAATGAAAATTCTGAGTTAAAGGGTACTTGATTTCAAAATGTTGACATATACTAATACTTGACTCTCCAAACATGCTGAATCATTTTAAAGTTCCATCAGTAGTGTATGGGAACTTCTCTTTTACCATACCTCCACCATGCTGAATATTATTAATCTTTGTCTTTACCAACTTTTTCTAAATTAAATACCCCAGCTGATGGTTTAGACTTGCTATTCTGCATTAATACTCTACTACTTACTGGCTTAAAATTTTAATACATCTGCATTTGTATTATTCTATCAAATGGTAAGTGTTGCAAACAAATGGCATGACTAAAGAAAAACTAGCCTTCCCACCAACATGGAGGCATAGGTAGACACACTGTGCCTCCTCGCACAACCAAGACAGGGACAATAACAATTTAGAAACAGAGTAACAACCAGAACTGACAGAAATTGAACTGTATGGAAGTCAGACAACGAAAGAGTTAAAATAGACACGTTCATCCAGACAGGTAGGAGGGGCGGAGTCTGGAAGCCAGGCTGGAGAGGGGTCGCATGGCACAAAGAGAGTTGGGACCGGGTGTGTAAGACCGCAGCGGGCAGACCCTGGTTGCGGGTGACAACTGGCAGACCCAGTGCCTCCTATGAGGTGGTGACTATGAAGCAAGGCACTGCATGCAACCCAGGATCCCAGTGCTGGGAAATAGAGCCTCAGGGCACTGACTGAAAAGACCTGTGGGGGCTGAGGCAAAGGGAGAGACTCCCAGCCTCATAGGAGAGGTCACTGGGAAGACCCATGGGGTGCACAAGCCCACCCACATGGAAATCAGCACCAGAAAGGCCCAGTTTGATTAGGGGAAGCAGCGGAAGGGACTGAGAGCGGCAGAGAGCGGAGCAAGCACCATTGTTCCCTCTTAGACCCCGTCCCCACATAGAGCGTCACAAACCAGTGACTGGGCTACCCACCGTCTGGTGAACACCTAAGGCTCCGCCCCTCATATGTAACAGGCACATCAAGACAAAAAAAAAAAAATGGCCCAAACGAAAGAACATCCAAGATCCAGAAAAAATACGACTAAGCAAAAGGAGATACCCAACCTATCAGATGCTCAGTTCAAAGCACTGGTGATCAGGATGCTCACGGAATTGATTGAATATGGTCACAAATTAGATAAAAAAATGAAGGCTACAATAAGTAAAATGAAGAAAAATACACAGGGAACCAATAGTGATGGGAAGGAAATGGGGACTCAGATCATTGGAGTGGACCAGAAGGAAGAAAGAAACAACCACACAGAAAAGAATGACGAAAGAAGAATTCAAAAAAATGAGGAGAGGCTTAGGAACCTCCAGGACATCTTTAAATGTTCCAACATCCTAACTGTAAGGGTACCAGAAAGAGAAGAGGAAGAGCAACAAGTGGAAAACTTACTTGAACAAATAATAAAGGAGAACTTCCCCAATCTGGGAAAAGAACTAGACTTCCAGGAAGCTCAGAGAGTCCCAAAGAAGTTGCACCCAAGGAGGAACACACCAAGGCACATCATAATTACATTAGCCAAGGTAAAAAACAAAGGAGAGAATCCTAGAAGCAGCAAGAGATAAAGAGACAGTCACCTACAAAGGAGTTCCCATCAGACTGTCAGCTGATTTCTCAAAAGAGACCTTGCAGGCAAGAAGGGGCTGGAAGGAAGTATTCTAAGTCAGGAAGGGCAAGGACCTACACCCCAGATTGCTCTACCCAGCAAAGCTTTCATTTAGAATGGAAGGGCAGATAAAGTGCTTTCCAGATAAGGTCAAGTTAAAGGAGTTCATCATCACCAAGCCCTTATTATATGAAATGTTAGAAACTTATTGAAGAAAAAGAAGATAAAAACATGTATAGTAAAATGACAGCAAACTCACAATTATTAACAACCACACCTAAAACAAAAACAAAAACAAAAACAAACTAAGCAAACAACTAGAACAGTAGCAGAACCACAGAAATGGAGGTCACATGGAGGGTTATCAACAGGGGAGTGGGAGGAGGAGAGAGGGGAAAGGTACAGAGAATAAGTAGCATAGATGGTAGGTAGAATATAGACAGGGGAGGGCAAGAATAGCATGGGAAATGTAGAAGCTAAAGAACTTATGACACATGGACATGAACTAAAAGGGGGGAATGTGGGTGGGAGAGGGTGTGCAGGGTGGAGGGGGATAAAGGGGGTAATGGAACAGCATATATAATAGCATAATCAATAAAATACTTTAAAAGAAAATGCAATCACTTACTATCAAAAAAAAAAAAAAGAAAGAAAGAAAAAGAAAAACTACCTCCTGTAAAACTTCATTTGCAAGAAAACGGCTATCACCCTCTTCAACTTGTGGACTAGAGATCCTTGTTACATGCCCCAGATCACCTACAAGTAATGGGGGAAAAAAAAAAAACCCAGCCAAGAGTTAAAATACAACAGCCCATTTCTTTATTTTAAGGTAATAATCTGGTTATCTTTCCCTCTTACCTATTTTATAGATAACTTTATTGGATACACAGTCATCTTCATCTCCGTCTTCAGAGGCAGCATTTGGGATTGAGGTTCGAGATATGAAAATATTACCTGTCAAACATTTATTTATGTAAGCGATACTAACAATTAATAGTACAACCTAAGTTCACAAACAGGCATATGTCAGAATCATCTAGAAAACTTTTAAGCACACAGAGTCTTTCTTACATGTTCTACCCCAAATCCAATGAAAGTAACAGTCACAGGATGAAAACTGGGGCTTTATTTTCTAAGAATATATTTTCTGGCCTAGCACTGGTCCTTGAATACTTAGAAACCACTACCATTAGTCCCTTCACATTTACACATTGATCTTTGGCGGTTTTAATTACTTAGAAACATACAAAAGGCAATAGCATGTAATTTGTAATGCTGCCAAAGCACAACTTTTTTTTAAAAATAAAGATTTTATCTATTTATTTTTAGAGAGAGAGGAGGGAAGGAGAAAGAGAGGGAGAGAAATGCTAATGTGTGGTTGCCTCTTGCACATCCCCTTTTGGGTACCCAGCCTGCAACCCAGGCATGTGCCCTGGTTGGGAATTGAACCGGTGACCCTTTGGTTCACAGCCCATGCTCAATCCACTGAGCTACACCAGCCAGGGCTTTTAAAGCACAACTTTTCATCTAATGCTACAGGCCGGTGTGAAAAGAATGAATCACACAGCTATTGAGCCTGGCTGACCATACAGCATCTTTATTCTAATGTGACTTTTGGTTCATATCTCAGCTGAACAAACTCTTTTCCTCTTCACATTTGAGTAAGCTCCTGATAAACATAAGTTTCAGTGGCAGATTTTATTTTAATAGTTTTATCAATATAGTACTGAATTTATAAGTGTTATTATAGTCACTGCAGTCATCTCTCAGTTTTGTTTTATTTATAGGACCACTTATTTTGTGGTGGTATTTATAAACCTTAAATTTTAAAACTTAGTATTTTCAATTTTTATACTTACAACATAAGGGTCTAACTATGTTTGACACTTAATACAAGATATGTGTGATTATAGGCAAACCTTACTAATTCACATTTATTGCCATCAGTTCAAATATTTTTTCTTTGAAAATAAAAATTTTAGTAAGCTGTTAATGTATAAATTCTACATACTCCAGAATTAAAACAAATTGTGTGAAAGGACTTAAATTCCCATGAACCACATACATTTCCATAGGTTAAAAAAAAACCCCAAACCTTATTAAATTCAACTTAACAACACCTATTCTAAAATGTTTAACAGGAATCCATCAACCTATTAGTTATAACTTAAAATTTATAGAAAAATATAAGGGGCAAAAAGAATAAGTTAAATAATACAAAAAAACAACCAGTCAAAGCCAGAAGAAAGGACATCTTGCACAAGGTCTACACTATTTTAATTCTCACCCAAGGAAATGCTTATTGATTTTAAAGAGAAGTGGGTGGGGGTGGAAAAAGAAACACTGATGTGAGAGACAAACTTGGATCAGTTGCTCCTGTCCATGGCCTGAGCAGGGGCTGAATCTGCAATCTTTTTTAGTGTATGGGACAACGCTCTAACCAACTGAGCCACTGACCAAAGCTATACTATTGTTTTCAGGAGTAGGACAAAGTAAAACCTAAAAAGAAAAATGTGATGTCATGTATGGTCCTGAAATGGGCGCTAGTTGGGACAAATCAACTTAAGAACCTGGGTTAAGACTTTCTTTAGAAGGTTCTTGAGGGAGTCCTGGCAGCCTCAAGGCAGAGAAGCCAACATGTAGAAGGCAGACCTGGAGATACCTAGGGCCTTTTACTGATCTGTCCTGGCTCAGAGCTGGTGGAAACCAAGAGAACCTTTCTATACAGCTTGGCCCCTCCCACATGTACCAGGCCCGATAGAGGCAGTCACAAACTGCAGACCACTTGGTAGCTCCATACAGGTACCCCAAGGCCAGTCAGTCACTGACAGTGTCTGACAACAACCTGAACTGGAGTCCCTCCCAATTGGACCCAGAAACAACACAACCAGTGGTGGGCTTCAAGCCACAGCAGAGCATGACCCAACTAGCTACACAAGTGGCAAACCCAAAGGAGATCCTAGCAGGCACCAGACCCTGCTGGAGCCAACTCTTCTTGCCAGGTATAGGGCAGCTTTCACAAAGCAGATCATATACTGTGATCCATGTCAACCCACATAGTCAAGCAGCCTGAGGGATAATCCCACACACGGATGGACCAACGACATTCAAGACTCAACTACAACAGGAAGGCTCACATAACCGACACAAAAGACATTCCTGGAACACCTAGGTCAGGTGATCAGGAAGATGAGCCACTGAGCCCCACAGGATACCTATTAGATAAGACCATTATAACAAGCTTTAGAGATATAGCAGATCTACCTAATACACAGAAACAAACACAAAAAGGCAGGCAAAATGGGAAGACAAAATAACATGCCTCAAATAAAAAAAAATTCCTCCAAAGGACTAAATGAAATTGGAGGCAACCATGTTACCAGAGGCAGAGTTCAAAACAATGGTTACAAGGATGCTCAAGGTACTTAGGAGAAGAAGGGATGATCTCAGTGAGAACTTAAGAGATAGTCAGCATTAAAAAGAACACAGAACCCATAAAAAAGAACCAATCAGAAATAAGGAATACAGTAGAAGGAATCTCAATAGCAGGTTAGATGAAGCAGAGGATCAAACCAGGAATTTAGAGGACAAGATAACAGAAAACACCCAAGTAAAGCAACAAGAATAACAAAAACTTTATTTTTTAATATATTTGTTATTACAGTCATTCCATTGTTCCCTTCACTCCCCTCCACTCTGCAACCCTCTCCCAACCATATTCCCCACCTTTTGTTCATGTCCATGTGTCATACTTTTAAGTTCTTTAGCTTCCACATTTCCTATACTACTCTTGCCCTCCCCCTATTTTCTACCTACCATCTATGCTACTTATTCTCTGTACCTTTCCCCTCTCTCCTCCTCCCACTCCCCTGTTGATAACCCTCCATGTGACCTCCATTTCTGTGGTTCTGCTACTGTTCTAGTTGTTTGCTTAGTTTGTTTTTGTTTTTGTTTTAGGTGTGGTTGTTAATAATTGTGAGTTTGCTGTCATTTTACTATACATGTTTTTATCTTTTTCTTCAATAAGTTTCTAACATTTCATATAATAAGGGCTTGGTGATGATGAACTCCTTTAACTTGACCTTATCTGGAAAGCACTTTATCTGCCCTTCCATTCTAAATGAAAGCTTTGCTGGGTAGAGCAATCTGGGGTGTAGGTCCTTGCCCTTCCTGACTTAGAATACTTCCTTCCAGCCCCTTCTTGCCTGCAAGGTCTCTTTTGAGAAATCAGCTGACAGTCTGATGGGAACTCCTTTGTAGGTGACTGTCTCTTTATCTCTTGCTGCTTCTAGGATTCTCTCCTTTGTTTTTACCTTGGCTAATGTAATTATGATGTGCCTTGGTGTGTTCCTCCTTGGGTGCAACTTCTTTGGGACTCTCTGAGCTTCCTGGAAGTCTAGTTCTTTTCCCAGATTGGGGAAGTTCTCCTTTATTATTTGTTCAAGTAAGTTTTCCACTTGTTGCTCTTCCTCTTCTCTTTCTGGTACCCTTACAGTTAGGATGTTGGAACATTTAAAGATGTCCTGGAGGTTCCTAAGCCTCTCCTCATTTTTTTGAATTCTTCTTTCGTCATTCTTTTCTGTGTGGTTGTTTCTTTCTTCCTTCTGGTCCACTCCAATGATCTGAGTCTCCCATTTCCTTCCCATCACTATTGGTTCCCTGTGTATTTTTTCTTCATTTTACTTATTGTAGCCTTCATTTTTTTATCTAATTTGTGACCATATTCAATCAATTCCGTGAGCATCCTGATCACCAGTGCTTTGAACTGAGCATCTGATAGGTTGGATATCTCTTTTTGCTTAGTTATATTTGTTCTAGAGCTTTGATGTTCTTTCATTTGGGCCATTTTTTTTGTCTTGATGTGCCTGTTACATATGAGGGATGGAGCCTTAGGTGTTCACTAGGGCAGGTAGGCATCCTAGTCTCTGGGTTGTGACCCTGTATGTGGGGGTGGGGTCCAAAAGAGAACAATGGCGCTTGCTTCGCTCTTTCTGATTTCAGTTCCTTCCGCCGCTTCCCCCAATCAAATTGGGCCCTTCTGGTGCTGACTCCGGTGTGGGTGGGCTTGTGTACATTCTCAGACCCTGTGGGTCTCTCCAACATACTCTCCTGTGAGGCTGGGAGTCTCTCCTGGCACAGGTGTTTTCTCAACCCCACAGGTGTCTCAACCCCCACAGGTGTTTTCAATAGGTGTTTTGAGGCTTTATTTCCCTGTGCTGGGGCCCTGGGTTGCGAGGTCTGTCTCACTCCTCAGTTTCACTTGGTTTATCTGTGCAGGAATGTGGGACCACGTGGTCCTCCAGCTGTCTTGAGCTCCACGCCTGTCCAAAATCTACTGCCTCACTGGATCTGCCCGCTGCCACCCTGTGCCTGGGGTCCGCCTGCTTTCGTCTTGCGCTCCCAGGGTCTGCCAGCCACCACTTTTTTTAACCACGACCTCTCTCCTCCTGGCCGCCCAACTCTGCCCCTCCTACTGGTCAGGATGAGTGTGTCTATTTTAACTCTTTGGTTGTCGGACTTCCATACAGTTCAATTTTCTGTCAGTACTGGTTGGTTTTTTTTTTGTTTGTTTCTAAATCTTTGTTGTCCTTATTTTGGTTGTGCGAGGAGGCACAGTGTGTCTACCTATGCCTCCATCTTGGCCGGAAGTCAAAAATTTTCTTTAAACGAGTAAAGTCTGCCTTGGCCGGGTGGCTCAGTTGGTTGGAGCATTGCCCAGCACACCAAAAAGGTTGCGGTACAATCCCCAGGCAGGGTGTGCAGAGGAGGCAGGTGATCAACGTTTTCCTTTCTTTTCTTCCTTCTCCTTCCACTCCCCTTACTCTCTTCTAAAAATTAATAAACATATCCTCGGGTGAGGATTAAAAATAAAGGAAAGTTTAAGGGTCCTCTGATACAACATCATACATAACATCTCCATCATCAAGGTACAAGGAGAGAGAAATCAGGGGGCAGGGGTCTAAGAACCTGTTTGAAGAAAATGATGACTGAAAACTTCCCTAACATGGTAAAGGAAAAAGACATACCTGTCTAGAAAGCACAAGAGTCCTAATCAAGATGGACCTAAAGAAGCCCACACATAAGGCCTGGCTGGCATAGCTCAGTGGATTGAGTGCGGGCTGCGAACCAAAGTGTCGCAGGTTCGATTCCCAGTCAGGGCACACGCCTGGGTTGCAGGCCATGACCACCAGCAACCGCACATTGATGTTTCTCTCTCTCTCTTCCTCCCTTCCCTCTTTAAAAATAAATAAATAAAATCTTAAAAAAAAAAAAAAAGAAGCCCACACCAAGACACATCATAATTAAAATGGCAAAGGTTAAAAACAAAGAGTCTTTAGAGCTGCAAAAGAAACAGTTACCTACACAGGAGCTTCAGTCAGTCTAGTTTCTCAACAAAAATACTTTAGCCCAGAAGGGATTGGCATGAAATATTAAAAATGATGAACTGCAAGGACCTACAACCAAGACTAATCTACCCAGCAAGGCTATCATTTAAAATTGAAGACAAAATAAATAACTTCCCAAACAAGAAAAAATTAAAAGATGTCATTACCACCGAACCAGAACTTTAAGAACAATAAAGGGTCTTCATTCAGATAAAGAGGAACATAGTTATAAAGAATAAAATGCCAATAAATACATACCTATTGCTAATGACTTTAAATGTAAACAGATTAAATGCTCCAATGAAAAGACTTCAAGTAGTTAAATAGATAAGAAAACAAGACCTGTATATATGATGTCTACAAGAGACATACCTCAGAACAAAAGACACACAAACTGAGGAAAAAGATATTTCATACAAATAGTAACAAAACAAAGGCTGGGGTAACAAGCTTATATCAGTAAAAATAGACTTTAAAACAAAGGCTATATATAATAAGAGACTAAAAAGAACATTACATAATGATAAAGGAGTCAATTCAATAAGATATAAACCTTGTAAACATCTGTGCACTTGACATAGGAGCACCCATCGGGGTGTCCAATTTTCTGGCATGTCTGGGGTACACCAGAAGAAGAGTTGTCTTGGGCCACCCACACATTGAATACATTGCAACACACATCATCACAAAAAAATCTCATAATGTTTTAAGTGGGCCACATTCATAGCCATCCTGAGCTGCATGCAGCCTGCGAGCTGCAGGTTAGACACCCTTAATAAATATATAAAGCAAATCTTGAAAGACATGGAGAGAGCGACAGAAATAAGTTAGAGTAAAGTATTTTAACACCCCATTGACATAAATGGATAGATCTTCCAGATAAAAAAATCAGCAAGGAAACAGTGGCCTTAAACGACACACTAGACTAAATGGATTTATAATCGATAGTTTTAGAGGATATAACCTCAAAGTAGAATATATGTTCTTTTCAAGTGCATGTGGAACTTTCACTATAAATACTCCACATTAGGACAAAACCAGTCGATAAATTCAAGAAGACTGAAATCATATCAGGCATGTTCTCCAACCACAATGGTATGAAACTACAAATCAATTACAAGAAAAAAAACCCGGAAAAACAAACACACGGAGGCTAAATATGTTACTGAACAATGAATGGGTTAACAATAAGATCAAGGAAGAAATCAAAAGTTACCTTGAGAAAAATGAAAATGAACACACAATAGAAAACCGGAGACACAGTGAAAGCAGTCCCTAAGAGGGAAATTTATAGCAATACAGGCCTACCTCAAAAAGCAAGAAAAATCACAAATCAACAATCTAACCTTATACCTAAACAACCTAGAAAAAGAGCAAAGCCCAAAGTGAGTAGAAGGAAATAATAAAGAACAGAGCAGAAATAAATAAAAGAGAATCTAAAAAAATATATTCAAAAGATCAATGAAACCAAGAGCTGATTCTTTCAAAGGATAAACAAGATCAATAAACCTTTAACCAGATTCATCAGGTATGACTCTGTTGGTTGGAGCTTGCCCCTGTACACTGAAAGGTCATGGGTTTGGTTCCTGGGCAGGGCACATATCTAGGTTGCAGGTTCAATCCCGTCGGGGCACATATGGGAGGCAACTGACTAATGCTTCTCTCACATCAATGTTTCTCTCTCAATAAATGTATCCTCTGGTGAAGATTTAAAAAAAGAGAGAGAATCAAAGGGAGGAACCAAATAAAGAACATCAGAAATAAATGGGGGAGGAGTAACAACTGAAATACAGCTTTAAAAAATATTACTAATAACTATAGTCAACAAATTAAGACAAAATGGAAGAAATAGATAAATTCCTAGAAACACCCAATCTTCCAAAATTGAATCAAGAAACAGTCAATCTGCCCTGACTGGTGTGGCTCAGTGGACTGAGCCTGCAAACCGAACGTTCACAGGTTCAATTCCTAGTCAGGGCACATGCCTGGGCTGCAGGCCAGGTTCCTGGCTGGGGTCATGCCAACAGGCAAATGACTGATGTTTCTCTCACACATTGATGTGTCTCTTCCTCTCCTTCTCCCTCCCTTCTCCTCTCTAAAAATAAATGTAATTTTTATTTTTAAAAAAAGAAGAAACAGAAAATCTGAACAGACTGACTACAACAAATAAAATCAAAATAGTAATCAAGACTCCCAGCACACAGAAGTTCTGGACCAGAAGGCTTCACAGGTGAATTTTACCAAAGATCCAATGAAAAACTAAACACCTACCCTTCTCAAACTCTGCCAAAATACTTTAAGAGGAAGACTCCCAAGCTCATTTTATGAGGCCAGCATTATCCTAATTTGAAAACCAGAAAAAAAAAAAAAAACACTACAAAGAAAGAAAATTATAGACCAATATCTCTGATGAATATCGACACAGTAATCCTCAAAACATTAGCAAACCAAATCCAGCAATACATTAAAAAGATCATACACCATGATCAAGTGGGATTTATCCTGGGGATGCAAGGCTGGTCCAATATTTGCAAATAAACATGCCACACCATGTCAACAAAATGAACGACAAAAACCACACAATCATATCCATAGAAGCAGAAAAAACATTTGATGAAATCCAGCACCCATTTATGATGCTCACCAAAGTGGGAATAGAGGGAATATACCTCAATGTAATAAAGGACATATATGACAAACCCACAGCCATCATCATACTCAATGGGCAAAAACTATACAAGCAGCCGTGGCATTATTTTAACTGTACTTCCAAAGATTAATAGAAAAGTGGGTATTTAATTTATTTTTTAGTCTGGCTTGTCTACATTAAAAAAAGTTTTATGTTCTGGCTGGTGTGGCTCAGTGGATTGGGCACTGGCATATGAATGGAAAGGTCACCAGTTTGATGCCAGTCAGGGCACAGGCCTAGGCTGCAGGCCAGGTCCCCAGTTGGGAGTGTGCAAGAGGCAACCAATCAATGTTTCTCTCACATATCAATGTTTCTCTCCCTCTCTGTAAAAATAAATAAATAAATAATTTAAAAATAATAATTTTATAATGTACTTATCACCACTTCTATAATAAAAATGTTTCAAATTAAGCTAAGATTATTTAAGTTTATACACTGATTAGTACCACGGCACCGTGAATGTGAAATCTCACAAGGCTTTGAAAGAATACTCTGATGCTGGTCTAAGTAACAGTACAGTAAAATCTACTGCACCCACATATATAGAAAAATCTATTTTTTAGCTGAAAAGTAGTCTAACAGTAAAGAGAAAAAGAATAAAACCACAATATTTCTATACTCTCCAGCCCTGATTTACTTGCAACCTTTTCTTATCAAGTAGTAATCATAATACATGTTGTTTTGTTGAGTAATGTAATAACAAATTATTCTTTCTTTTATAGACTAAAAATACCACATTTGTATAGCACGTGTTTTCAAAACATTGTCACACTTCTCATTTTATTCTAATAATCCCAATAGCAGCACCAGCATTAACTTATAATTATGGTTCTATAGTCTAGTGGAAGGGGCTTTAAACATAGGTTTTAGTCTCCCTTGGTCAGTCCTACATCAAGACTATGTAGTTTGCACAAGATATCCCATGTTTTTTCCAGCTCTTAAAAATGAGTTCATTAACTCCAACCTTTTGGGGTAACAAGAGATGAACAGAAATCATAAAACAATATTAGGTCTTTTAAACTAACAGTGACCCCTGACCAGGTAGCTCAGTTGGTTAGAGCATTTGTCAGTGCACCAAGGTTGTGGGTTCAATCCCCAGTCAGGGCACATATAAGAAGCAACCAATGAATACATAAATAAGTAAAACAGCAGCTCTGGCTGGGTAACTATGTTGGTTGGAGTATCATCCTGTACACCAAAAGGTTATAGGTTTAATTTCCAGTCCCATATGGGAAACAACCAATCAATGTTTCTCTCTCTCTTCCACTCTCTCTAAAATCAATAAACATATTCTTGGGTGATAATTAAAAAAACAAACAAAAACAAACAACAGATGTTTCTCTCTCCTAAAAATCAATAATAATAAAAAGGAGAAAAAATGAACAATGAAAAAACATACTAACATGACCAAGATGTATATGTCTCATACTGTTTTAATGAAGTCATTTATTCTCTATAATCCCAGAGAACACAAGTTAGAAGATTTGTAATACTTACTAGGCTTTATATCCATGTGAACCAAAGACATTGAATGAATATACTTCAAGCCCCGGCCAACTTGCAAAAGGAGATCCTTTAACTCTGCTTCTATAAAGTACCTCATGCTCCTGTAGTTTATACTTATGGCATCGGCTAAACTTCCACCTAACAAACACACACACAAGAATTAGCATTTTCTTACTTTCAGAAAACATTCTTATTTTTCTTCTATCTTTACTGAATGACCACAGACTTAACTGAGAAAGTGGTATTTTATAGTACCTATTCCCTTCAACGTGCTTGTGAAATAATTATATTTACTGTTTCAACAGGTAATATAAACACAGGTACAAAATATAAGGTAACGTTTCTGTAATCCATTACCCCAACAACTGACCTAGTTCTTTTCCCCAAAGTAAACCAATGTTATCAGTTTCTTATGCATTCTTTTCAACGTTTGATACAAATGGTAACGTATTTTCATTATCTTGAAGATAGTTCTTTACCAATATACAAAGACTACCCCTTTATTGTGTCTACTGAATTCCACTGTATAAGTGAATGATAATGCATTAACCAGTCCCCGATTTAATGGACATTTTAAAATGCTTTCTAAGCCTTTGCTACTACATATGGTCTAAGATTTTGTACAATGGTCATTTCGCACATATTTAGTGTATCTCCTAGAAATCCATTGCCTACCCTGGCTGGTGTAGTTCAGTGACTTGAGCGTGGGCTGCAAACCAAAAGGTTGCTGGTTGGATTCCCAGTCAGGGCACATGCCTGGGTTGTGGGCCAGGTCCCCAGTGGGGGGCCACGTGACAGGCAACCACACATTGATATTTCTCTTCCTCTCTTTCTCCTTTCCTTCCCCTCTCTAAATAAATAGAATCTTAAAAAAACAAAAAACATCCTGGGTCAAAGAGTATGTACAATGTTAGTTATGTACATGCACAGTATGTGACTGTGTGCAATACTATTTTATTACATATAGAATAAGTTTCTGTAGCTAACAGGGCCATTTCTCTGTTTATCCTCTACAAAAGAGCTTAGGATTGGTACTTATACCATTACTGCCAAGACTTGACTGCCTCTGAAGGTTTACATAAAGAGATAACAGTGCACTCAGTTTCTGATTTCAAAATGACTCATACTTAAACTCTATTAGCAGTTGCCTATGTGAACCTGGAGTGATTACTCATGTCTGTACACACACTGTCCCCACAGAGAAGTCTGTACCAATTTATACTCTCACCATTAATACATGAAAATATTTGTTTTCCCACACCTTTGATTAACAGTCTATAAATTTTACAGGTAAAAAACCAGTACCACAGGAGTTTTAATTTACACCACTCTTGCAATGAATTAGAATAAAACATGTTTTTATAGAATCAGCCAAACCAATCAGCTACTGTTTTTATAAAAAGCTTATACTTTATTAGTTTTACTTAAAAGTTTGTAAAATTTATATTTTATCTCAGAGGAAGCATGTTACATTAAAAAAGAAAAGGAACCCACCACTTCTTTTTAAAGCTTAGTTAAGAATAATACAATCAAACCCAGGATAATAAAATCAGAAAGGTCAATGAAATATTAGTCGGGAAAGGAGGTCCTACAATAACAAATGGATATTGTGCTTTTAAAATAAAAACAAACCACACACCTGGTTATCTTAGGCTTAAGTGTTCTCCATACTTAATTTGTACAAATCTTGAACTATGGAGGAAAAAAGGGCTCTAGAAGGGAGCAGGTCAATAAACCTGTCAGATAGTAAGGCTTGAAGTCCTAGATCAAGTTTAATAAGAAAGAATATGGCTGCTTTTTAAGTGGGTCTGGCTACAGCTGAGCCAGCTAGCTCCTATATCTCATTGCCAAAAGGGCAAGACGGGTGAGAAGAGTAAACAATCATCTGATTTTCAGGTTATCTTCCCTCATTCACCAAATTTTTTCTAAACGCATTTACTATGAGTAGAAATTTCAGTCTACCACCACACTAAAGACAAAAGGCTAAAAATGCAAATGGGCTGTTTGAGATCATAAGGAAGTTTAGTCACTGATAAAGGATATCAGTTAAATAGCATGTACAAATGAATAATAAAATCCATTCCCTGTGAAAACCGTGGAAAAGGAAATGAAGATCAGGCTTATTATTTGTACATTCAAAGCTTTCCAAAGCTTCCCAAAGCTTTCCGAGGAAAGGAGTATGGAAAGGGGGGACAAAAGATAAGAAAAGTCCACAAATAGTATCAAGATAGTCCTATTTTTTTCTTCTACACAGAATAACCAACCATACATAAAGGCAGCGTGTTTCACACAGGTCTAGTTATTTTTTAGAGATTTTTATTCTTTATTTTATACGGCTTCAGTATAAAATATAAACTGCTTCAAAACAATAAACTGTTTCAAAAGACCATTTTATAATCTAATTTTATTATAGGATAAGGTCTTTGTAATCTGAGAGGGTAGCAAGACCACTCACTCTTCCCCATCCGCCAGGCCCTCAAGTTTTCTCAAAATCATCTGAATTATACAACCATGTATTTAGTAGGTTTTTATAAATTTATGATCCCTGGACTGCCAATGAAATACTTAAGAGAGAACCAGACGCATCAAAAAGGTGACAGGAAGAAACTAAAAAGAGATGGTGCCCTGGCAGAGTAGCTCAGATGGTTGGAACAGCATCCCCACGTGCCAAGGTTACGGGTTTGATCCCCAGGCAGGGCACATACACGAATTACCCAATGAATGCATAACTAAGTGGAACGACAAGTCAGTGTTTCTCCCTCTCTTACTGTCTCTCTCTAAAATCAATCAACCAATCAATCAATCAATCAATCAATCAAATAATTAAAAAATAAAATAAAATGAGATGGTTCCTACCAAATATGGAGTGGAAAATACATTAAGATTGAGTTGTATTATATCAAATGCACTAAAAAATAAAGGTTAAGAAACAGAATTGTGTACAGGTCATGAGAGACAGCTACATAAATATTTTGATGATATAAATAGAAACATTTCCTGAAACACCTATTTAAAAGAACCTATGCACCCCAATGTGCATAGCAGTGCAATTTACAATAGCCAAATGCTGGAAACAGCCTAAGTGCCCATCAGTAAATGAGTGGATCAGAAACACAATGGAATACCACACATCAGAAAGAAAGAACTCCTACTCTCAGTGACAGCATGGATGGAGCTGGAGAGCATTATGCAAAGTGAAGTAAGCCAGGCAGTGGAGGGCAAATACCATATGATCTCACCTATTAGTGGAACCTAGTCAATAAAACAAACAAGTGAGCAACATATAACCAGAGACACTGAAATAAAGAACAAACTTGACAGTGACCAGAGGAGAGGAGGGAAGAGGGCAACAGGAAAAGGGGAAGAGCCGTCAAGGAACATGTATAAAGGACACAAAGCAGGGAATGAAGGTGGGAGAGTGGGGTGGGTAGGGCAGAGGAGAGTAAAGGGGGAGGAGGAGAAATGGGGACAATTGTAACTGAACAATAATAAAAGAAACATTTCAAGAGATTTTTGAAACAAACTAGCAGCAATGCTATATACTGAGCACTTCTATTCTTTTAAGTATAGAGAATTAATAAAATCATGAGAAATGAGGTATGGAAATAGATCTTTTACTTTTGTTTTATTCACTCTTTTAAATATGAAAAACCTGAACCCACTACCTACACCACTTACAAGCTATGAGATGGCCAGTCTTGTTTAAAGAAAAAAAGAGAATCAACAAAAATAGTAATATAAAAATAAATCTTTGCTATCACCCCAAGTATTACTTAAATTCTAAATTTTAGTATTTATAGAAGATACACAAAAATAAAAATCCATTATACAGATTAGGGCAAAAGTAGGTTTACAGTCGTTCATATGGAGAATACAATAATTACAAATAAAAATACAATAAACTGTGTTTTACTTACTTTTGCCCCACCTTATAAAGGTTTAGATATTTAATAACAGATGTCTATATAAGAATTGAGACCAGAATACCAGACAGTACCAGATTGAGACCAATTGTGGTAAAGATTTAATGAGAAAAGGACCGAAGCTGAACTTTGAAGGACTTGCTAAAGTTGAAAGCTATACCCAGGCCCAAAGCTGAACCTCTATACTTACTTATTTTGTTTGTCCTAGGGGAAAAGGGAGGCAGGTACAGCTAGAGAACCACTTCCTTAATAGAAAAGTCTTAGTGGATGCTTATAGTAAATTAGATTTGATACATGGGAGTAGGGGCAAGACTACAGAAAGCCTTGAGCAAATGGTGAGGTTTAGACCAACGGAGAGTCACTGTTATGAATAACCAGCACCAGTTTTAGCAGTTCATATAATGAAATGGAAAGGGACGGCTAGGTGCAGAGAACCTGTGTTATTAACTACTAAGGCCCCCCCTACACACTATACTAGGTGCAGGGAATAACAAAATATATATGGCAAAGCCAGTGTCTCCTCAAGAAGATCAGTTTAATTCGAGTAACTGGAATATAAATAATTTGCAATGTTCTGCTACTGAGGTAGAAGAGACAAGGCTTTCAATCTTTATTTAACAGCAGATAGGCACTACTGCCCTTGTAATTCATGTTAGAATTCTGATCTTTGAATTTTAAGAGATAAAAGAGACACAGACTTAAATAAACGTAAGTATTCCCTCAGTGCTCATTCATTTGAGCTCACAAGTTTAGAGGGGATCTTGTTATGTTACTCACCATTACAATACTCATTCTGTATGAGCATATGATCGTCTTCTGCCCATGCAGAGAAATACCGAACTACATGGGAATGTTGTCCAAGCACTGCATGAGCATATACTTCTCTCAAAGCATTCTGCCTAAGAATAATTTGAGATTAATAGAATAAGAATTAATAGAATAATTTAGTCTGAACTAAATTAATTTACCTGAAACTTCATAAAAGAAACCTGATTTCTATGTCTATCATTATGCTGAAAAACAACTTGGTTGAGAGAGAAGGAGCTAAGACTGTGCCAGATTTTTCCAAAGACTTTCACTAAAAAATGGCAGTTAGAAAGTAGGAACCTTACTGGACCTAGAAATCAGGAAAAGATAAAACTTCCATTTAACTGTGAATTCATGGATGCTACTAGAAATCAGAAATTTCTTAGGTTCCAAAATTAGACAAGTCCGATAAGAACTAATGGTAAGAAATGAAAATGATTTGATTATAACTTCTCAAAAGTTAGAGAATTAATTAATTAAATTCAATGTTTGATTACCTAAAACTTTAATGTTTGTAATACCATAGGGAACAAAAAATGAAAAGACAAAATTTTCAATACATACTCATCAACAGAGCCGGCCAATGGCTTTTTCGATCGCTTAATGGCATAAATGCATCCATCCAGCCTCTTCACACATTTAAATACAGAACCAAATTCTCCAGAGCCAATTTTCTCTAGCTCGTGAAATTCTGTTGTATACCGGGACTTCATATTGCTTTCAGTAATTGTAATTCTCTGTAATAAAAAGTGTATCCATATGCATAATACAAAAATATGAAAATTATTTTTTACTGTGCTGACAGCATTTTGTGTGAAAATTTAAAATTATATAGTATGTTTCAATGCTTACTTAACATGTATATATAACTTGTTAAGAAACAGAAAATCAAGTTTCAGAAACAATGAAAAGAAAACTAAACGTTATTTACTTTAGCAGGTCTTGTTTCATCTTCAAACTCATAATCACTGGCTTCCATATCTTCACCGCAGGAACTGAAAAATATTATGCATTTTTTTCATCAACATATCTGAAACATACATCAACTAGAGATCCAAAACTTCACTCATAGGTGCACAGCAAAATTTTAATGAGCAAAAATAGAAAAGCATTTAGTTTTATAATCACAAGATAAAGCTCAGCTGATTAAAATGTGATACTTGCTGAGATATGCTCATGAATCAGAAGCCAACACCACCAAGCATATCAAATTTAAAAAGCCTTTCTAGCCCTGGCTTGTGTGACTCAGTGGATTGAACACCACCCTGTGAGCCAAAGGGTTGTCAATTCAACTCCCAGTCAGTGCGAATGCCTGGGTTGCTGGCCAGGTCCCCAGTAGGGGGTGTGCAAGAGGCAACCACACATGCCTCTTGCACACCCTTCCCCTCTACGAATAAATAAAACCTTAAAAAAAAAAAAAAAGGCCTTTCTTTCTTTTTTATTTTTTAATTTTATTTATTTATTTTTAGAGTGGGAAGGGAGGGAGATAGAGAGAGAGAAACATCAATGTGCAGTTGCTGGGGGTTATAGCCTGCAACCCAGGCATGTACCCTGGCTGGGAATCGAACCTGCAACACTTTGGTTTACAGCCCGCGCTCAATCTACTGAGCTACGGCAGCCAGGGCTAAAAAAGGCCTTTCTAAACCAACTCTCTCTGCCTGCCTCATTTTTGACACAAGTGGATTTCCTAGAAGTTATCTCGATTTTTTATTTCTTCCTTTCTCATGCCACTCCTTTTCCACAGCTGATTACTTCTCACCTATCTCTGCTGAGAATTAGGTGCTGGTAATAGAGAAAAACTTCAGAGCATAATCTTCCATATCATTCAGTTGAAAGTTAAGTTTTGATTAAGTATACCAAACCAATCTTGGGTATTTGGTGAAACAAACTACTAAGTAGTAACTAACTTACTCATTCCAGTATGTTCTCTTTCTTCTACGACATTGTCCTGAGGAATGAAGCAATACAGAATCTGGAGTAAAAGGATTTATATTCACTTGAGGTGTCTGTCGAATGTCAAATTCTCTTTTTCCAGATTTTTCTGTATCCATGAATAGAGAACCACTTCGGAGTTTAACAGAGCTGGAATCAATTCCCCGAGCTTTGGAGAGCAAACTCTAGGAGAGGAAAAATAACATTTTTAGGATCCAGGTCCAATAGACAGCCTTCTCAACCTAACTGGCAACAAGCCTTCCTCCTGGCTGAATGTGTAGGTCAAAGCCAACACACAAGTCTAGAAATACTGCAGTAAATACTACAAAATAAAGTGGTTAACTTAGGAGTCTGAAGCTGGATAGTAACCACCTTTTCTGAAAGATAGCCAAGTAAAATAGGTCTAGAGCCCTAAAGAGTATAAATACATACTAAAATTAAGTTCATTTTAGAGGCTAGAAGTTAACAAACGCTTTCTAAAAATAAAAAGCAGAGAGCCCCATAAAAGCGCCTCTCCCCTCCCACAACCACTAAATAGGGCTTTGAAAGCCGCCTCTGCTACGCTCCTCCCCTCACTTTCAGAGGGATCTTGCCTGGGGCAAGTCTGCTGATAAACACTAAAGGCCTAAAACACACATCTTCCTGAGGTACTGAAACCTATTTAAGACAGTACATTTTTCATTTTATTCCTACAAATGAGATACTTGCCTTAATTTCGAAAAGTGTCAGTCTTAACATCTGCTGTAACTTTTGAAGTTCTATTAGTAGTAATCGGCATAATTTCTTGCCACTTAACAGATGCTGAACTCCTACTTCACGATTCATTATCAATAATACGAATGCATAAGGGTCCAAGTAACAATCCCAATGCTGGTTTTTTAACAGTTCCATATTCCTAATCATCCCACTTAGATGACCAAACTCGGTCACTGCAAACCCAACGGTGTAAACAAACGCTTGCCCAAATTATGTCCGGAAAGAGGCTTAAATGCTACCCAGAGTTATTTACAAGTCTTTAACAAGTCTTTAAGAGTGTAAATGACTGGAAGGCTAACCTTTAATCCCCAGTCGAAGCGCAGTCTCCCTCCCTACTTCAAGCTTTCCCCCTTACGGTGATGAGACCAGAAATGATAAACCCATAATACAGGACCGATCACAGCGTTTAAAAAGCACCACATGGCTGCGGCGCTGAGGAGTGTCAAGTGGTGGGGCCAAGCATCACTCCAGCCTCCTTCCAAACCACGCTATCAGTACCACACTCCCGGGTGACAAGCTCAGGGCAGCCCCCATTCCGCGGGCTTTCAATCGTGAGCCACCTGGACGGCGCCGACCAGCCCCTTTGAAAGATGAAGAAGTTCCAGATGAGGCCCATTGTTCAGTTACATAATCTTAACGGACAACTTCTGGGCAGGGCCAAAAAGAAAGGCTGCCAACTTTTTGTTGCGGCGCAGGAGAGTGAGCGGGGATGCGGCCGGGCGGTTATGTAACCGAACCCGGCCAGCGCCGCGCTCCGCTCTAGGCGCCTTCACGTTTTTAAAAGGACGGCCGGGCGCGGGCTCGGGACGCCCAGGTCATCGCTCCTCCCTTACCTTGGGGGTGTGCGGTGTGTCAAAAAGCCGCAGCTTGCGGAAGGTCTTGTGCGGCGGCGTGCCCGGGTGGTCCCGCAGCGGCGAGCAGGGGCCCTCGCCCGCCATGCGCTCCCCGTAACCTTGCGGGGACGCGTCTTCCTGGCCGCCGCAGCGCACTGGCGAAAACGAGCTGCCCAGAAAGTAGGCTGCCGCCGGCGACTTGACCGGCGACGAAGAACCGAAGCCCTCCTCTTCCCACGAGTCGCCCTCCGCCCCACCGCCGGATGCGTCCACGCTCGGGGAGGCGCCCCGCAGCAACATGTCCTCTTCCAGCTCCCCGGGGCTGCCGGGGGCTGGGCCGGGCGACCGATGGCCCTCGGGCCCGGGCTCGGTGGGGCTCCGCGCAGGCGGCAGCGGCGAGTCGGGCTCCTGAAAGGCCGAGTCCTCACCAGTGCTGTGGCCGCTGCCCTCCTCCTCCTCTTCTTCCTCCTCCTCCTCACAGTCGCTGCAGGGCGAGAAGATCAGCTTCTGCCGCAAGGTGCAGGAGACCCCGGCGCGACGGGACGGCGGCGGCTGCTGACGGCTAAGGAAGCTCATCGCGCCCCTGTGGCCGAGACGGAGAAGAGGACAGCCGGGACTCGTGGAGTCCAGGACACAGCCGGTCCAGGGGGCGGGTCTGCCACGTGCGACTGGGCGCGTCTACTGGCCTCGGCGGCGGGTCTGCGACGCGGTGGGCTGCGGCTCCGGGGCGCTTGAGGCTGCGGGCGGCGGTGGACGTAGCGGCAGCTACGACGCGGACTGTCCAGCAGAGGTGGGGCGGCAGAGGCGGTGAGGTTGAGGTCTCCGCAACTCCAGCCGCGAGTTCGGGCTCCGCGGCTTCCCGCGACCGTTAGCCACGTGACTGACCAGTCCACCAATCCCCGCCCAGCTCCGGGTTTGAAAAAAAGGAGGGCGCGACGTACCCCGCGGGGGAGGGATTAGCTACGTGATTTTGGCGCGAACCTGCTAGTTCCGCCCCCCACTCGGCGCGGGGCCCGGTCTGGGTGGATGCAGTGCCGGGGCCCTAAAAAAGCTGGACCGCGGGGAGCTAGGTTCGGCTCCGCCCCAGCAGGGCCGAGCTGGGAGCCTTGGCCGCATCTCAGGGAGGGGGCTGGTGGAGCCTGACTCGACTCCTCCACGACTAAGCCGAGCCGAGTGCCCCCCTGAATTCCGCCTCCTCGCGGCCTCTCCGGCGCTCCGGGGCTCTGACGTGGGACTGAGGGGCTGGGAGCGCCTCTGGGTCCCTGTGGGTCGCGGCGTGTGCGGAACTGCTGTAGCTCCTGGGCGCTGCTCGAGGAGACCCGCCTCCAGTAAAGCCTTCCCGGGCATTGTGGGCGTGGCTGTAGGCAGTCACGTTCCTGGGTCGAGGTCTAAGCCGGAAATGTGGATTCCGGCGTTAGAGCTCTTACGAACTGTGTGAGCAGATTCCTTAGGTTGGACACCGAAATCAGCAAGACAGAAGCGCTAGCTCTCCGGGCGAGGACTCCGGCTTTGGGGTCGCCTGTGGAGACTTAGTTTTACCCCAGGTGAGCTCCCCCAGGCCGTGGTCCCCTCTGCAGTCCACTCTAGCCTTGTCACAGAAAAAACAGCACAGTTGGCCCTAGCACGGAATACGGTGTTTGTTTGCCAGCACGTGGGAGGTGTTGGCAAAGCAGATTGATCCAGCCGGGCTGCAAATTTAAACGCAACTTTAGAAGAAAAAAGAATTTCCTCTTGTACTCCATCATATTGTGACTAATCTGTCCCTCATTGTCGCATATACAGATTTTTTAATTTGTCGATTGTAAGTAACCCCATGGTGAATATTGTTCTTTCTCCTGTTTTTTTCCCCTCTGTGTGTGTGTGTGTGTTATTCCTTGAGGTATAGAAGTGAAAATTACTGGAAAAAAGATTTAAACTGCTAAATTGCCCTGGGGGGTGGGGGGAACAATTTATGTTTTCGCATTAGAGTACACTTCTTGAATTCTGGGTAAAGTTTGTTAGTGTAGTTTTGTTTTAATGAATGATTTCTAGTGCCTTATTGTAGCACTTCATGAATATTAACAAGTTACTGTGTATGTTGTTCTAACACTTTTCAAAGGCTAAACTAAAGCTGAATTTTTTTTAAAACAGATTTTATTTTTAGAGAGAGGGGAAGGGAGAAACAAGGGAAGAGAAACATCAATGTGTGGTTGCCTCTCTCGTGCCCCCTGCTGGAGATCTGGACCACAATCCAGGCATGTGCCCTGACTGGGAGAGAATCCTCCACCGTTTGGTTCACAGGTCAGCACTCAATCCACCGAGCCACACCAGCCAGGGCTAAAGCTGGATTTTTAATAATGGGATTTTTAACATCTTAGTACTTATCACATGGGGAATTCCCTGACGTCGCAGTGAAGGGTGAACCACTGTTTTCTACAGACAGTTGCTAACTGATGTATAAACGTCTTTTTGCATGTTAATCTAAATTCAATTTTAAACACTTGGAAGACAGGAAATCTACCCCTTTGGTGTGTTTCTAGGAGAAGCGTCCTTTGATTCATGGTGGCCAAAGACAAGGAGTGGTGTTTAGCACTCTCCTGCAATGCCTCCTCTCCCTCAGTCCTCCTAAGGACAAATACAATTTTTTGATATGGATAGTTGACATTTTCCCAATTTCATGTGAACTCTAAATAAAAAGTAAATTTAGAAAACTTTTACTCTTTATTAATCTGTAATATGAGTTGTGTATAACATAGTGTTTGCTTCTTAAGTAAATGGGAATTTAAAGCCCCACAGACACCATCCCCACTTGATTATTGCCCCTAAGCCCCTCCCATATAGGAATTCTTTATCCCCTATTGCTATCACATCCCCTCTTCCCCTTCATAGCACTCTGCTTTCTTTTTTTTTTTTAATTGTTAAAATTTATTGACTAGAGAGAGGAAGGGAGAGGAGAGAGAAACATTGATTTGTTTTGTTGTTCCACTTACGTATTTACTGGTTAATTCTTGTATGTGCCCTGAGCAGGATGGAACACACAACCTTGACAAATCTGAAGGATGCTCTCTAACCAACTGAGCTATCCCTGGCCAGGGCGCCCTGCTTTGTTTCCTTAACAGGCTTATATCTGTCTCAAAGTGTGTTATTTATTACTGTCCGGTTCTAGAAAATGAAACCCCTTGAGTGTAGGGACCTTTCTATTTGTATATTGCAGTATTCTGATGTGACTTAGATGCTCAATATCTTCTTCGTGATAATTAAGCCCTTAAATCTTTGTTGATTTATTTTTCTCTCTTAATATAAATTCCAAAGATACAGAAGTCTCCCACCTACTCCTTCAGCCCCTAGCCCAAGTCCCCTTCCTGGAGGAAAGGTTGTTTTTTTTTTTTTTTTTTCAACTTTTAATTTCACCCCTTGTCTGCTTCCCTAAACTGGGAGGTCCTTGAACTAGGCTGGGGCAAAAGGGCTGGGTTCCCAATAGGAAGGGAAGAGTTCTTGGTCCACCGCCCTAGAACTTTAAATTCTTGGCACCCAGGCCCTCACACAGAACTGAAGAGGTAAATTTCCAACAAATGTACAGAATGACTGGGGGAAAGGAATTTCTTTAAAAGTTGAAAACAAGACTCAGTATAAGAACCATTTCCTGTATAAAGCCCTTCCTTGACTTACTCTACTTCCAAGTAAAAGACAATATTCCACACACCACACTTGCTGTCACACCTGGCATAGACTGTATAAAACACTTTGATTACCCTGGGCCTGCTGAGATCAAGTTTTGTCTTTAGAGTTTCAGCAACCAGCAGTGTCCCTTGACCCCTGAGGAGGCACTTAATACATGTCTCTGGAATAATTTAATAAAACTCTTGTGTTTCAGGGCCCTGGCCAGGTAGCTCAGTTGGTTAGAGCGTCTTCCCCATATGTCAAGGTTCTGGGTTTGATCCTCAGCCAAGGTACATACAGGGAGCAACCAATGAATGCACAAATAAGTGGAACAATATTGATGTTTCTGTCTTTCTAATTAATAAATAAAAATTTAAAAGGTAGCCCCAGAACATTTATTTTAAAAAAATCTCGTGTTCCTTAAAACAAAAGTGCCAAAATGAGTATGAAACCCATGCCCTGCCTCCACCAGCTGAGAACATGGCACAATGTTATGATTTAATTGCAGCAGTGTCCTAACTGAAATTCTTAATGATTGTTCTGATTTTTAAAATGTCTTGTTTCTGAGGAAAGTACTTACTGTACTAGAGAGACAGGGTTACACCCACTTGCCCTAGGACATAACTAATCAAATTTCCTGTTCTTTCCCTACCCAGTGTTGTTTCTAACTATAATGTTGCTAGGCAACTTCTACAGAATCCACGAGCCTGTGGTAATGTTATAATAACAGTAAAAATTTTGCCTCTAGATGTTGGCAGAACAAACTCAACCTGTTTATCCCCATTAAAGACAGATGACTTAGCACTTTAATACCACTATTGTCAGCTCATTTACCTTCCTTAGCACAAGCAGCAAGATTCCTGCTCTAAAGATTTGTTATTGAAATTCTTAAGTCACTCTCTCAAATACTTTTTACACAAGCACATGGATATCTGTGCATATTATTAACATAAGAATGCATCTTTGAATGAAAGAATCCTTTAGAACTGGGAACTAGTTTTTCAGTCTGTAGGAATGTTTCATACAATTAGCCAGTCTTTATCTAAAGCTGAATTTTTTTCTAATTTATGCTTTTGATTCTGGAAAAATAACCACTTTCTTGACACAAGAGCCTACTCTGACTTCTAATTTAAAAAAATAAAAAGTCATATTGGTCCTGGTCAAGTGGCTTAGTGGGTTAGAGCATCATTCCAATATGCCAGGATTGCAAGTTCAGTCCTCAGTCTCAACATATACCAGAAGCAACCAATGAACACATAAGTAAATGGAAAAACAAATCAATCTCTCTCTCTCTCTCAAAACTCAAATAAATGTTTTAAAACTTAAAAAAAACCCTCATGTTGGTCAAATCTGTTTTTCTCTTAAAAACCAAATAAACTTTAAAAAGTTAAGCTATCTTTCTTCATCTTCCTTGTTATCTCTACCTTTTCTCTTCGGCTGGTTCTCTCAGCAGACCTCACTCACTTCCACCCAGCTCTAACTGCCGGTTACCAACTGCCAGCTGGCCCAAGGAATCCAGATCTCAGGCTAGAATGTGGTAACTCCTGCCACTGCTCCTGTTTGACTTCCCAGGTACAGATTTGCCTGTTCTCACTTGTCTTAATACCCTGTGATGGATGACTTGGATGATGTTTGACTATTTCAGCACATGTTCGTTCATCAGCTCACCTTGAGAATATAGTGTGGTATAGTCAAATCCATTTCCTCCTTAGTTCAATGCATTAAATGTGAGACTAGCATTGTTCCTTACAGTGGTCAATAAATGTTATGTGTGCTTTTAATTATAGCACACTATTGTTGGAGAACAATCCACACTTGTTATTGGTTTTGTAACCAGTGAGGATAATCAAATCAAAACAGATAATATTGATATAATAAAGACTTACTTGAAAAGCATAGCTCAGGAAAAGTGATCATTTGAGAGATTGTATTTTAATGAAGTAAACATTTCATGTCTAAATAGCTTTTAAGGACTACTACTGGGTTGGCCAAAAAGTTCTTTTGTTTTTTTCCGTTAAGAAGTGCTTAGATGTCTTGAACTTTACTTGAAACAATTTTGTTAGACTGTATTGTGACAGCTGTCAT